TCTCATGGGGTTTGCACACTCCCATAGGAACAGGAAGTCAGTCCAAATTAAAACAGAAAGCCACAGTTGACTAATTTTGAATTTACTGCTTTATTGTTGGTTTCTTCCAGAGTGAATACAATGGCTTTTTTTTTTTTAACATCTTTATTGGAGTATAATTGCTTTACAATGGTGTGTTAGTTTCTGCTGTATAGCAAAGTGGCCACAATACATATACATATATCCCCATATCCCCTCCCTCTTGCGCCTCCCTCCCACCCTCCCTAGGTGGTCACAAAGCACCGAGCTGATCTCCCTGTGCAATGTGGCTGCTTCCCACTAGCTATCTATTTTACATTTGGTAGTGTATATATGTCCATGCCACTCTCTCTCTCTAAAACAAGAAAAAAAAAATGGTTCTGAAGAACCTAGGGACAGGACTGGAAAAAAGATGCAGACGTAGAGAATGGACCTGAGGACACGGGGAGGGGGAAGGGTAAGCTGGGACGAAGTGAGAGAATACAATGGCTTTAATTGGAAATATAAACCCTATGGTGTTCTCCATGGGACCAGGTAAAAAGAAGTGGGTATTTGGAGTTTTCTTGGAAAAAGGAAGAGAAGTATTAAGAAGCTCCCTAGGCTAGACTCTGCTGACCTTCAGCATGTGTGAAGACATTTTAAATGCAAAGAACAGAAACTCTGTCGGTCAGTATGGTCCATGACAATCATTCATTGAACAAAAGAGCATCTACTCTGCCAGGCATGGAGGAAGAGGTGATGAAAAAGCCCTCATGACTCTCAGACTTGGTATTTATTTAATGACAGATGGGAAATAGATAGGGAAAGCTGAGTATAAAGGAGGTCCTAAGTGGTGTAGAGAAAGAAAATAGCATTTTTTTGGATAGATGTTTGTGGGTATGGCTGGCCCCATGACTTGAACCTCTCCCATGCAGTCAATATACCTTCCCTGTCAAGTCTCAGATTGGCCTCTGTGATGTTGGCTCTGAAATCTTGGATTGTTCTGGAGGCCATTTTTAGGAGGGATGGGGAAGATGGTGGGTGGTGGCCTAGGGCTGTCTTATGTGTTCCTCTTGGAAATGGGCAGAGACTGAATTTTAGTTTAGATCCTGGCCTGGAATTGAATAAAAACAGAAACTTGTGAAAGCTTCTTGAATTCACAATATATTTGCCCAGGAGACTGGAGCATCGTGGCTCAAGTTGTCCTACTCTCTGGAGAAAATCAGCACTGTTTTATAACTAGGCTTTCCTCATGAGCGATGTTTTAAAGACAAAACAAGGAAATTAATTTGTTGCTGTTGTTGAGGCAAAAAATGCTCTGTTTAAAGAACAAAGATGCTGTAACATAAACTGGCAAAAGCCAGGGAGTCAGAGCAGGAGCTAAATGTCACATTATCAGCTCCAAACTTGAACTTGCCCAAAAGTATTAGGTTAATGTTTAAAAGATGGTGCCATTTAAGAATATTTTGAATTTAATATTTAATTATCTTAATTTGACATTATCCTTGGGGTTGCATGGTCTTTACTTACAGAGGCTGCCCTTTAGAGAATGCAGATTCCACCCTGCCTTTGTCTTTGAAAGGTAACTGCTCCAGCTACTAATACCAACTTGGATAGCTCCTTGGGGGCCACGGTCAGGTTACTATTAAATTGCATTTAGTGGTTATCATGTGTCACACTGGTGGACAGAAGAGAGCAGGGACATGGGTGCTTCACAGCTGTGTCCTTGGGTTCAGAACTGTGGTGGACGTGGAAGACAGGGGAAACCTCTGGATTCAGGTCAGACTTGGTGTGATGGCCTGAGGAGGGAGGCTGGGAATTTGAAACTGTACTCATTGAGAAGAAAATCCCTCCACATTTTCACAGCTCCCTCTGTGCCCCACGGCTGCAGGTGCTACAGGTGTTGCTGCTCAAAGCTTATTAGAAAGGCAGACCTACTGAATGATAATCTGCATTTTAACAATATCCCCAGGTGATTGTCTGCACACTCAGGTTTGAGAGCCACTGTCGCAGGAGAATCTTAAGACTCTGTTGCTTCTCTCTTGCACCCTCTTTTATTTTATTTTATTTTATTATTTTTTTTGTGTGGTACGCGGGCCTCTCACTGTTGTGGCCTCTCCCGTTGTGGAGCACAGGCTCCGGACGCGCAGGCTCAGCGGCCATGGCTCACGGGCCCAGCCGCTCTGTGGCATGTGGGATCTTCCCGGACCGGGGCACGAACCTGTGTCCCCTGCATCGGCAGGCGGACTCTCAACCACTACGCCACCAGGGAAGCCCCAACTTTCCGCGTTTTTTGTCAGTTTTCCCTTTGCCTCCACTCCACTTATTTCATTTTTGCCATTGTTCATATGCCATTGTTCCTGCTTACCCATATCTAACTCCAGACCCGTCCACAATAATTTATTATCATTAACTTATTCAACATGTCAGTGGCACTTACTAATGTAAATATTTGCACATACCTGTTCTCTTGTGTCCATTTTCTACCTTCTAAATTTTATATACACACACACACACATATGTGAAGGACGTACTTCATTATTTTAAAAGTACATGGGCTTCCCTGGTGGCGCAGTGGTTGAGAGTCCGCCTGCCGATGCCGGGGACATGGGTCCGTGCCCCAGCCTGGGAGGATCCCACATGCCGCGGAGCGGCTGGGCCCCGGAGCCACCAGCGGTGAGC